ATTTTAAAAAAGCTCTAACGTTTCAACGTGCAATCTACCAATATGTACAGGGTATTTCAAAAATACATGGCAAGAAAAATACATGGCAAGAAAAAAACATGGCAGTTCGACGGGGGTGTAGCGTTCCAACGTGCGATCCCAATGAGAAACGTTTTTATATTCAAAAGTGTTGTCGAGTTAAAGTTCGAAAATAGGGCAATGGGTGAGTAAAGTATTCAACAACGACATTTCAAAATACATTGTTTTACATACGTTTCGACCGTCTTTAGTTTTTGTGTTTGAATGCATGTCATTTGTCAAATGTTTGGAGGAAAAGGAGGAAAAGGGGGAAGGGGGCAAAGAAAACACGCGGTATTGGTGAGTACGAAGGGATTTCAGAACGTTTCCGCCATCATCAGGTGATGAGGTGAGGTAAAAAAAGGAGAAATGAAATATTTCGAATAGAAACTTATTAGGCATTTTCATTTTGGTAACATATCACGAAAATGTCCGTTCGTATTATATGCTGATTTCGAATCAGTTTCGAAAAAATTGCGAGGAAGAGGATTCAAGCAAATGTAGGCTACTACTTGAAATGTTCTTATGACGACAGTTTGTCCAAGTTTAATATCCATAGGGGTGACGATTGCTTACAATGTTTCACCGATGAAGTGGCTAGCATTGCAAAGTTCGTTGAATCAAAAATAAAGAAAACTGAGCCGATAATAGTGCTTTTAAATAGTATCAGTGCTGCAACGACTTGACATATCTGCGAAAAACCGTTAACGTGCATGATCATGAGCATCTCACGAAAGCATTTTGGGGCAAAAAGAGGGCGTGTGAGCATACTTCCCATCAACAAAGACAAATACATTTCATTCACCCAATACGATTGTGAAACTAGCATTAAATTCAGATCTATAGATTCTTATCGTGTTATGGGAGCCAAACACGATGAGTTGATTTCCACACTGAATGTAAAAAAATTGAAAATATTGAAAAAATAATTTGCAGAATAAGACGATAAAAAAATTTAGCTTTTCACTAAGGCGTATTTCCATATGATTATGTGGACGATGTACAAAAACTCCTCGACACTTAGTTATCATATCATATCAGAATTTAACGTAGCATCTGAATATGTAATGATATACAGGGCGTTCTATTTTAAAAAATGGAATTTTGGTCTGTAGCACCTATTCTCATGAAATTATTTATTAAACATGGACAGTGTGTAAGATTACAAAATAATTTCCTTGACTATGGCTCAAAGTTAAAAGCAACTTCAACATTATCAAAACCTGTTACTTTAAATGAGGACAATACTGTTAACGTTTTGGTATATTTTTATGCATATCCAGAAGCTTCCATTTGCAATGCAGAAAAACAGTACAACGAATTTTGAAAAATCACGAAATGCATCCGTATATATTTACGAAAGTTCAAGCTCTCCAAGCAGAAGACTTTGAACGTAGAATGCATTTTTGCAAATCTCTTTTAATACATCTACAGGTAGATCTTGAATTTTTGTTCAGAATTCAATGGATAACATTTCCAGCATTTATTGTAAAAATGTGATATTTTGTTTTCAATGTTATTATTTTTTATCATTCTAATTCTGTTATTTTCTATACTTTCACATGTTATAACTCAGAAAATCTGACTTTTCACCTACAAATGCCTGATTTTTGGTATAGTTGTTCCCTAGAAACTTTGAGCCACAGTTAAGGAAATTATTGTGTAACTTTACAAACTTCCTCTCGTTCATTGTTGTGAATTCAGGATATTTTCTGCAAGTTCTGACAATGATTTGATCACTTTGTTCATGTGTAATAAATAATTTCATAAAAACTTCGTTTGAGCAATCGATATTTGCATTCATTTTGTAAGATGTTTTGAAACACCATCGATAAATATGCGTAAATTACTTATAAAAGTAACCAAACTATTATAAGCTTGATAATTCCACTGCTACCTAAAACCAAATTCTTCAAAAGTAATGTTTCCAGAAGAAGTTACTTTATTAAGAAAACTTCATGATTTAGGTATAGGGACATGATATCTCTTGAAGCATTTTTCATCATCTTTCAATTTATCGAGTAATAGGTATATAGGGGATTTCATTTGAAAAAATGAACTTGACCAGTTTTATGCATAATGAAACTAATAGTAATTTCAGCACGCCCTGTATGATATGAAGTCGATTTCTTGGTGTTAATTAAATATTTCCAGTTTGTCAAAACTATCATCAAGATGTCAACTTTCCATCAATTGATAGTACTGCTGTACTTAAGTTCAATTGGGGCTATGTTTTGGACCATATTTAGTGAAAATTATTTTTTATTTTGAAAACTGATAGAGATAGGTATGACATTATTAACAAATAAGTATTACAGTAAAAGAGCGATTTAAAAAATATGTTAATATATGGGTATTCTATTTAAAAAAATTAAGTTGCTACGGCTTTTTGATAGAAGTGGCAACGCTGAAATGTTGAAAATATTAATTTTACATAGATAGAACAGGTAAGGAAATGTAAGATGTGAAATTTTCAGAGAAATCCTGCTTTGCGTTTACCATAAACATGTAACCTACCATCGACCGTGAGTCACGATGTATATATACTAGTTGTTGCCTGTGGCTTCGCCGGCGTAGAATTTGATTTGTCACATTAAGTTTCGTGACGGACCATTTTAAACAAATAGTTACGATATTTTTTCATTAACCCAAAACGTCAGGTTTCCAACTTCAAAACTAACGAAACTCAATACAATCTGTAAACCCCTATTTTTCCTCTTGGGGGTGGAAATTCCTGATTCTCTCTCTTGATGCTTATTCACGCGAGTGAACGATAACGCGGGTAAAACAGCGAGGAACAGTATAAGTGGGTACCTATTGATTGACTGACAATCTTATATTAACGTACAGCCGAAGTTACTCACTCTAGAGTCTTGAAATATGCAGATAGGTTCTTTGTATAGCGTAAATAAGCATCAAGGGAATCAGGAATTTCCACCCCCAGGGGGAAAATAGAGGTTCAAAGATTGTATTTAATTTCTTCTTTCTTTCTAAAAAGATATGACAACTACACAAGTGGTAAATAGCTTCGAGAATCGAATTATGTTATCTATAAAGAAATTTCGCAAAATGAACACAATCGACAACGATGCTGAATCACACGTCTGCCCGTGTTTTTCATATGTACCTTATTACTGAATCTTATGGTTTGTCAGCCAAAATTTCAGATTCTACTAGAATCCCATCATCGAACTCTTCGGGTATAGATCACATAGCCACGGATCACATAGCCACGGAGCGAAATTTAAGATGTATATTCACTAATGATAAATTGTTCGATCCTGGCACACATATTGATCAATTCGTTTGCCTCAGGTGTTTTGTTTATACTAATGATATTACAAATTTTAAAATCCTTAGATAAATTTTTCACAATTCATTTCACTCTTTCATAGGTTACTTCACTTTTGGGAAACTCTTCCAATTTAAAACCGCTTTCAGGTAAAAAAAAAAGGTCATTTGAATTTAGGCAACTATAGAACCATTGTTGCCAGCAGTTTATTCATTTCAGTATTAAGTAATAGTAAAATAATAGTATTATAGAGGGTACAGAGGGATGACCATCCTTTTACCATATTCTGAGAAATGTTAGGATTCATATCCTGAAAATTGGCAAATATAGGTTTTTTCTAATTCTTCATCAAATGGAATTGATGGTGTTTTTCCAACAGTTCTGAAAATAACAATTTGATGAAGTGAGTTAATAAATACTTACCTGGTAATTAACTGAAATATCTTCAAACATATTTTGGAATAGTTTTTATATTTTGTCTGCCAAGACAATGCAATATTTTCGAGTTTTGAGTTGTCACTCTTTTATAAACATTTAGAATAAACATTTTTTAATCCATTATGCGTTAATCTGAAATCTGTTTTCCTTTAAAACCATGACTACAAATTATTAACTGTAATAAACTGTTCTGTAACTGTTCGAAATGAAGGTTTCATAGCCGTAGTTTTATGGTGTACATGAGCATGTTTTATTTTTTTTAAGAAAAACTGAAATATCAAACTGAACAGTTGATTTTTGATATAGGAAATGTTTCATGAAAATGAGTCAAAATCATCTCCAAATTTCAAAACTATCCCAAAATACAGTGTATTCTTTTTGAAAAAACTGAGTTTTGGCCAATTTTTGTACATTCAGAATTAGTCATCAATTCCGAACTTCCGAACACCTTGTGTAACATTTTGGAAATGTTACTCCTGCAGGACGATGAAATGAAGTATTTTGATAAATCAGTAATAGCTTATTTATGTAGTCTATCAAACTTTCGAATTTTACAGGAAAATTACTCGAGAGCCGAATACCTAGTTTTCTTTGAGTAAACTAATGAATATCACAAGAACGGTTCATTTTTGGTATAGGGTGTATTACATAAACTCACATTAGAATTATCATGTATTCAAAAATGTGAAAATATACAGGATGCCACATTTGAATCAAGGAAGTTGTTACCAATTCTCAGAATAATCGAAAGTGTTGGAAAAACGCCATTATTTCAATTTGCTGAAGCATGTTAAAAAACCTATATCTGCCAATTTTCAGAATACGAATCCTATTATTTTTTTTATAAAGGGCTAACCAAAGGTCATTGGCACTAACGGAAGATCATCAACATATTCCAGAAACACTTTATTGTGAGATTTTCACTAAACAGTTCTACAAAATGCAACAAGTGTTTCGCTATACAATAGCTTCTTCAGGCATTTCGTATACATACTAAATTGTTTAAAAAACTGAAGACATTCGGTACTACAACACAAGATCAGTTGATCTCTTGAACAAACCAAAATACAATTTACTCTACTGTAATACAGTGGGATTAAAATAAAGAATTAGGAATTACTAACAAATCCAACACAGTGCAATATTAATTGATAAGTGACTTAATGAATAACAAAAGTATGGAAAATAAGGAGAAAAATATTTACCAGTGGTTGTCATCAAATTTCCATTACTTCTAGATAAATAGATTTTTGTTAAATTTTTACTGTTTGTTAGTATTCCCAGCATTTCATCATCCACTACTACTGAAGTTAAATCAATTTGTGATGTGTAAACATTTACCACTGCTGATAAAACAGTTTTGAAATCTATATTTCGCCAAAAGTAGGATGAACTTGTGAATCTTTTAAGAATTATATTCTTTAGTTGAAACGGTAGGATCTCCAGCATTTTCACATCATCTTTAATGTACAAAGGCAAGTTATCAAGAATAATTTTGATAGATCTAAAAAAAAAATATTAATTTTGTATACACCAGGAAATAAAATCACACACATAGACACAAGCGTTTCAATATGATTCATTCTCCTTCCAAAAGATTCGATCATTATCAATTTCTAATTTCAAATCTAATTTAAAACAAGAAGACACTTATTAACCTACACAGCTTTGATTATAAACATAAACATTGAGAAAACCAGTGTTGCCATTGTTGCCAATGTAAATTTACAAAATAATACAAAAAAATGGAACAAAATACTTGAATTTTACTCGTAAATTAATGAAAATCCTCACGAAATCCTCGCACGGGTTAATTTGATCGAGTTACTTGAAGAAACTGCTATGTTGAGTGATAAATGTATACTTTATATTTAATCGAATATTAGACAATGTCGCAACTCATATCACTGTTTCACCCGACCCTCATTCATCCAAATAATGAAAAGATATCATTTGAAAACTCAATACAATATTCATTATGAAAAAAAAAGAGAAAAATACGCCCAGGAATGAACAATGAGTTATTTATGCCCGTATGCACCGTGTACACTTAATCGGGATTAAAGGTTTAATCTAGATAAATGCTTTAATTTACCATGCACCGTACTAAAAGTCGGGCTTAAGCTTTCGAAAATCTAATCCTCCGTTTTTCATGGATTAAACTTGGATTAGTCTGTAGAAACGATTTTTCTTATAATTATTTCAAGAAAACTCAAAATATAGCTTTTCATACAAAACAAGTTCAACAATTCAAAATATTTTCAATTGACTCTGCCATTACTTGAAGAAATTCCATAGTAATTGTAAACCCACAATCCATTTCATGTACTGGTACAATTGGGAACATCTGTGTCATTGATGGCATTGGCCATACAGCTTCTATATCTGTGCATGACATTGCTGCTTTCTTAATATTTGCATAATCAGCAGCAAATAATATGGCGCCAACGTGACTACAAACTTCACTGTTCTCCTGACCAACAAAGAAGACAATAAACATAAGTCACAGGCATAGCTGATCGTGGATACACACAGTTTCACGTGTATTGTTTCTTAGATGAATTAACTATACCATTAGGAAATCAGAAAGTTGGCATACTGCTAACTTAGAAAAACTTACCTGTCCAACTAAAATGTATAAATTGTTCTCAATCTTTGTTCCCACCTTCACAACGAAGCCAGATTCGAATTATTTATACGATTCCAAACTTTTATATGCCTTCATCTGCACATGCGAATAAAAGCTATGGATAAAATCCAAATACGAATCAATATCCATATATGTAACTGGAGGAACACCATCAATTGAATAATTCAAATCAGAAACATTCAATGAGAAAAGGTCTAAACCATTGACCAATCTCAACTTCGTTATATACCTGTAACACAATGATGGAAATGTAAACAGATGATGGGGTGTATTTTTTCGAACATACCGTTTAGCAACGTCTGTTCTGTTCAGCAATAGTGATTTCAAGTATTCACTTTCCATTTTGATTGAATTTAAAAACCACAAAAGCTCCAAAATGTGTAAAAACACCACAATAGCTAATGATAACAAAACCAATGGTGCTCTTATGACAATAATCAGATCGTTTGCCCTACGCCGCCATATTGGGTCACGTGGTTTGGATTAAGATTCCTAGAAACCCTGGTGTTTCAACGATTAGATTTTGTTTAGAACTATTTGAAGGAACCACCTGTTGCTTTAAACTATACTTACGAGAGTTTTCCCAAAATGGCGCTATTCTGAATTGTTCGAGTCCCCGCTGAGTCAGTCTAATTAATTATTATCTGTCATTGTCAAAAAGAATTTTCAACTTTTGGTGTTTTGAAATTGAAATTTTTTGTCATCCCAATCCTTACATTGTTCGTATTTTTTATTATAGTTTCCGTTCGTTAGTTCTCAGTTATTTCAGTTTGGTTACAGTTTTCAGTAGTAATAAGGAATAGTTTTATATAAGGATACTTTTTGTAAAATGGGACAATTCTGTATTTTGTGTGGATAAAAATTCGAGTAATCATCTGTATTCAGTGCCAAAGGTAAATGAAACATTTTATAATTATTGTCAATCCACCAATGATTAAAGTATGTTTCTATCAGCCTTCACCAAAAACAAACTTCATATTTTGAATAATCCTTCACCCTTTCAAATCCACCTTCTGCTACTAGAGCAGCGGTCGTCACACTTTTCTGGCCAAGGGCCACACAAGACAACGTGGGTGTCAGCGCCGGGCCGCTTCACTTTAGGTCGCACAACAACTGCGCGTCATTTTTCTTGTTATTTTTTATTATAAAATCTTTTACCTTTGTTATGAGAGAACACTTCAATCATAGTTATAATCAACTGCAGACATGTAGATAAGGTACAACACAGTTTTACAAAAAAAGTCAGTCGCTCCTATTACCCGACAAATGCGGCTATTGAGAGCCCATTAATTTTTCCTATATGAAAAATTTTGAAACGACGTTTGAGAATCGGACTAGCGTCAGTCACCGTCGCCGGATTCGAACGCAAAATCTGTTTTGATTTTGTTTATGACATGTAGTTGACTATTGAAATAATTTACTTTGTCGCGGGCCGCAAAAATACTGGCCACGGGCCGCATGCGGCTCGCGGGCCGCAATTTGACGACCACGGTACTAGAGTGTCATTACTTTCTTAATCATAATATCAAGTTGAAAGTAAACGTTCACTTATGCTTTTTTTCAATTACAACTTTATACCTAAAGTCTATCCAAATCCAAGATAGAGTAAAAGAAAACAAAAACCGTGATGTTCACGTGATCGCCCAGTGTCAGATGGAAAGAGCAGCGTTCATTGGTGAATTCGCCTTCTTGGTACGAGTTTGGTACCAGCAGGGTTGTAATCAGTCGTTTGCGTGTTTGTGTGGCGTGCGTTATAGTATATTGTTTAAAATTGTTTTCCAATATGTCCAGTACAGACACTGCTGATGACACTATGAGCTATCCTTTGAGTCCAACCAGGAAACGATCCAAAAAAAGACATTTGAGTGTTGAGATGAAAGAAGTGATTTAAAATGTGTTCAAGAAAGAGAGTACCTACTTTTTCAGAAATGAAATATCCACGATAGACAAAGTACTCACAGAAATAAATGAAGATTTTTTATTGCCAAGTTTTAAGCGGTCAACATTCCATAAAGTATTGAAACATTTGAATTTTGCATGAAAAAAACGAGGGCGCAATAGTTTATTATTGGATAGAGAGGAAATTGTATTATGAAGGAGAGAGTATTTGACCAAAATTAAATATTATAGGGAACAACAGAGAACAATTTATTATATGGATGAAACCTGGGTTAACGCTGGTCATACTACCCCTAAAGTATGGGTCGATGAAGCTGTGACCTCATCTAGGAGGGCCTTTCTAGATGGACTATCCACCGGATTAACAAATCCTACAGGTAAACTTATATTTATATTAAGACCTGCCTCAATCTCAATATATAAAAAGTAACCCTCGCATTTGTTTTATTTACGTACATACCTCTTCATAACTTCAGGTAAAGGAAAACGGCTTATTATTTGTCACATCGGCAATGAGAATGGGTTTGTTGCTGAAGAGCTGTGGTGTTTCGAATCGAAGAAAACTGGAGATTATCACGAAGAAATGAACGGTGAATCTTTCGAACAATGGTTTTCCAAAGTTCTCCCCCATCTGGAAGATAATGCTGTGATTGTAATGGACAATGCACCTTATCATTCGCGACGGTTAGAGAAGATTTCGACAACGTCTTCAAAGAAGGTTGAAATCCAAAATTGGCTGCGATCAAAGAATATTAGCTTTGAAGACTCCATGCTAAGAGTACAGCTACTAAAAATTGTCAAGAAGCGCAAGCTTGAATACCAAAAATATATAGTCGATGAGATGGCAGCAGTAGAGAAAACACTTGGTGTTATCAAAATGATAAATATCAAATTATTCATATATGAAATGATAAATAACCCCTTCTAGCTTTACCTATCTACAAAAAAAAGTTCTTCTCAACCGGCTGTTCTCTAACGGTGACCCTCAGAAGTTCACAGTTGGAAACAAACACTCTATGCCATTCATTTCTCTTAAAGATAAAATATTGTTGTTTTCAGTTCAATTCAAGCATATCAATGTCCTACAAATTTCATATAAGGCTCATAACGGACTTTAAAGAAAGTTATTGATAACATAATATGAGAAGAGATATTTATGTATCCATTATTTAATTGATTCATATTGAAAAAGGGATATGTCAAAAATTGTCCGAATGTGTGGAGTTTAGTTATAAAATTTCATATTATTTTTCATTTCAATGATCGGAACTGCTGTTTTGTTTAATATTTTACATCATATTTGCCCTTGATACCAATCATAAAAATACATCATTATTCAATACGGGCTAATAGGTGCTAATGTCATTCTATAAATAAAAGGTGTTAAAAGTGGAAGAAAGGGGTAAAGTTGAAGAACATTTTCTACAAATGTCTGATTCACAGAAAATTAACTTCACCCTGTATTTCCTAATATTTCATATTTGTCAATATCTGTGTAAGCGTACTGCTTACACATGGAAATAATAAATACGGTATTATTATTATAAACAGCCTCTTCTGAGAACATAATCAGAAAGAGGTGTATCTTTTAGAATCTTCATTGTGAGAGGGTTATAATGAAATGCCAGTAGGAATTAAAAAAAAATATAGAAAAGTTGTTATCGAAGAAGGGTTATAAATATGTAAGTATACATGCTAAGAATCACACGTTAAAAGGTAAGATTTTGTTACTGTTCGCACAAGTTTCGACTTCTGAGGCTGCCGTTCGTAGGGGAACGACAGCTGGTTAACAGAAAAACCAATTTTAACCAATGCCATTTTAGTTTAATTGTCCATGTTTATTTACAGGGATCTCAATTTATTCATTTGTATAAAGGTGAACCCCAATTTTTGTTTACAGTACATTATATAAGAAAGAAAGCTTGTACTGTACCACTTATACTACTATTATAATTATTATAGACACATTTATGTGTGTTTAATGAAGGACAATTGAAGTAATGTCTAATGGACCTCAATGGAACATCGAAAGTTATAAGGGGGAGAATTTCTGGACAATCAATTATACGAGATATAATTTTGAATTGATAAACTAATGATTTAGTGTAACTTCGATTCTGAAATCTGCATATAATATTTCTAAAATCGAATTGAATGTATGAACCCATCCTGCATAATTTCGTAATAATTAGTTTCCTGGCTTTGCCCTGGTCATTTTCAGTAAAAATATTCAACTGCAACTGAGACAGTCATATTCAGTTGCGTTGATGAAGTAATCTTACAGAATAAAGTCGATACTGAAATTAGATTCAATGAATACGTCGTGAAAAGTACTTTGTCAACGCCGCTGAAGGTGACTGTCATAGTTGCAGTCAAAACGTTTAGAGTTTACCAAAGAAGACAATAGCAAAACCTGGAAATCAACCAAAACATTGAAGTTAGTCATAAAATCATACTACATGAGCTATTGAAAATTATCTACGAAGGTTGCTGAAATTTTCCCAGATTCAAAGATTGATTTTCATTTTTTTATAACTGGTTTTATTTTTCAGTTCGCAGTTGGACTATCCAGTGGAAAAACTCCCTTTGAAACATGAAAAACTGAAATACTTAAGTCCCTATATTTAGTTCTGTGGTCAGTTTTTTCAAAGAATATTTGATAAAGCATCTGCCAAATATCTACTAAGTGTAAGAACCCTCGAAAATAATTTTTTTTTGAAAATACAATTTTTCTGTGAGTCAAATTTCAAAAAATCTGAAAGTATCTGTTGAGATGTGATACTCTCATCAGCTGTATGTTTTTTTTTTAATTTAACTGAATATTTTCAAAAAACTACCTGTATATCATAATTGATGGGCACATCCTTTAAAAAAAGAACTCTTTTACACATGCAATGTAAAAGGTTGTAGTAAGCAACTAAAGTATATCAGATATTTTGTATTTGTATTCTAAAAAAAAACTATTTTCATCACATCTCTTTCCAAGGTCACGTTCTTACAATAAACGGCAAAGCTTTGAAATTCACTGCCTCAGAAGGTGTTCCTTTAGGCTTGCAGTCTGCAGAAATTCAACCATGGCGTTCTCTGAACATTAAGGTATTTTACTTTTCGTGGGAACCTGAATATAAAAGAAATTCCATCACAAGGAAACTGGAAATTAATTTACCACTGGTAAGGACATTAAATACCTACCATTTCACCTCAGATCGATAAAAAACTAACTTAACTTTTGAACGGTTTGACGTAGAAACATGAAAAAAACGTTTGGAGGCTATTACTGATACTATTTTCTGAAAAAAAACACATTGTGATTGCTCGATAATTGGCATGGAGGTCAAGTGTCAAATTAGTATATCAGTGATGAAATCATAGCAAAAAATATTACTCAATGAAATTAAATAAAATAATAATGGAAGATATTTGAATTACACTTTGTTCAATTTATGCTGGAATTCTAAATTTGAAAAATCATAATTACAGAAATCTTATAAAGTTCAATATACTTTTTTACAGACAATAAATAGTTCACATTCTTTCTGAACCAAAGAAGTTATTCAATACATCTCTGATGTTCAATGGAAGGTAATTGATCATCTTACATCCATTGTAAATTAATAAATTTTGCCTTGTAATTTCTCTCAAGTTATTTGCAGAACCCAAAGTTGCACGAGTAGTTCAAGGTGGGACTGTAGTGCTACTTCTCTTGAATAATAATAATTCTTTATTTCCAGTAGGACAATAAAATTGTGTAGGAAGTGTCAATACAATACAAATTAAAAAAAAAAAGAAGAGAAAAGAGGAAGACAAGCTCATGCTCTAAAACTAAGATGACTAGGTATGCACTATTCAAAGAATTCCTGCAAAGCATACAAACATTTTTCTAATAAATATTTTTTTAATGATTTTTTGAACAGAGAAAAACTATTCAAGGC